TTGTGGGGTACAGTTAAGGGTTAGGTATACAAATACGTTTCATTCAGGCACCCTGTTGATAAGAGGTGTTTTCCCATCCCCAGACAGATATTTGCTAGCGTTAATCCCATCTCCTCCCCCATAGTTTCCCACTACTGTCAGTCATTTTCTTATAGGATTACATTAGATGTTCAAGGTCCATTATATGAATGAGAAAATGTGATACTTGGATCTTTGTTTCTGTGAGAGGTCACTCAGTATTATAGACTCTAGTTCCATCCAGGTTGCTGCGAAATTCATGATTTTGTTCTTTTTTATGACTGCGTAGTATTCCATCATGTATATGTACCACATTTTTTTAATCCAGTCCTCTTTTGTCGGGCAGCATGGTTGCTTCCAGGTTCTTCCTATTGTGAACAATGTTGCAATAAACATACGTGTGCAGGTATCTTTTTTATAGAATGATTTGAGTTCTTCAGGATATATTCCCAGTAGGGGGATTGCGGGGTCATATGGGAGGTTGATATTTAGAGCTTTTAGGAATCGCCACACTGCTTTCCACAGAGTTTGCACTAGTTTACACTCCCACCAACAGTGTAGAAGTGTTCCCTTTTCGCCACACTCTCTCCAGCAGCTGTTATTTTTTGTGTTGTTGATAATTGCCATTCTGACTGGAGTTAGGTGGTATCTCAGTGTGGTTTTGATTTGCATCTCCCTGATGATTAGTGAGGTTGAACATTTCTTCATGTGTCTGTTGGCTGCTCGGATGTCTTCCTTTGTGAAGTGTCTGTCCATATCTTTTGCCCATTTTATAATGGGGTTGCTTGTTTTTTTCTTTTCAGCACGTTTGAGTTCCTTGTAGATCCAAGATGTCAAGCCTTTGTCAGACCTAGTGTTGGCAAACACTTTTTCCCAGTCTGTAGGCTGTCGCCCTACTGTCCTGATGGTTTCTTTGGCTTTGCAGAAGCTTGTCAGTTTAATAAGGTCCCACTTGTCTATCTTCTCTCTTAAGACCTGTGGGTTTTGGATTTTGTTCAGGAATTGGATGCCAGTTCTGATTTCCATGAGGGTATGTCCTTCAGTTTTCTCAGCACCGTTTACTTAAAGTTCACCTCTAAGTTGTTGTTAGTGAAGGCATTGTCGAAGATGAGTTGGTTGAGAAATTGAAGTTTTGCTTTCAGAATTTCTATCCTATTCCATCGGTCTGTAATCCTGTTCTTGTATCAATACCAGGCTGTTTTGATAATGATAGGCTTATAGTAAAGTTAGTCTGGAAGTGTTATATCTCCTACTTTGTTTCTTTTGTAGAGGATTGTTTTGGATACTCTTGGTTGTTTATGTTTCCACATGAATTTCTGTATTGTTGTTTCCAAGTCTGAGAAGAATGATGCTAGTAATTTTATGGCTATTGTGTTAAATCTGTAGATTGCAGTGGGTAGGATGGACATCTTAATAATGTTTATTCTTCCAATCCATGAGCATGGAATCATTTTCAATTTGTCTGTGTCGTCTTCAATTTCTTTGAGCAGTGTTTTGTAGTTTTTGTTGTAAAGGTCTTTGACTTCTCTAGTTAGGAAGATGCCAAGGTATTTCTTTTCGTTCTTTCTTTCTTTTTTTTTTTTTGCTATTGTGAATGGGACTGTGATTTTTATTTAGGTTTTTGTATGTTTATTATTGATTTAAATGAAACTGTCTTTTGCACATTTATTTTATGCCCTGAGACTTTGCCAAAATCCTTTATCAGTGCAAGGAGGTTTTTGACAGATTCTTTTGGGTTTTCAGGTATAGGATCATGTCATCTGCAAAGAGGGAGATAACTTAACTTCCTCTTTTACTATTTGAATACCCCTGATTTCATTATCTTGTTTGCTCTAACTAAAACTTCTAACACTATGTTGAACAGGAGAGGTGAGCAGCCTTGTCTTGTACTGATTTTTGGGGGAAATGACTCCAATTTCTGTATGTTTAGCAATATGTTGACTGTGGATTTATTGTAGATAGATGACTCTTACAATTTTGAGTATGTTCCATCTATGCCTAGATGTTCAAGGGTTTTTATAGAGAAGGGATGTTGGATTTTTTTTTTTTTTTGAGTTGGAGTCTCACTCTGTCGCCCAGACTGGAGTGCAGTGGCTGCTCCCGGCCACCGCAGCTTCGACCTGCTGGTCTCCGGCGATCCTTCCGCCTCAGCCTTCCAAGTAGCCGGAATTACAGGTGCGCGCTACCACACCCGGCTCATTTTTGATTTATTGTAGAGATGAAGTCTTGCCAAGTTGCCCAGGCAGGTCTCGAATAGTTGATTTTCTAACTGCATGTGTAGAATTACTCTTAGATGTAATTGTGTATAATTTGGGAATTTATTTTTTGTGATTGCTGATTGTTACCATTTGGTTATTTTGTTCCTCATATACTCTTCTATTACTAATGATTTTCTTATTCTCTAGGAATAAGAACATTTGATGGTAGTTGGACCTTAATATCCTTTACCCATTGTAAAAAGTTCTCTTAAAAATGTTGAGACCAGTGAATTAATTGCATACATTCTTTTCTTTTAATTCAGTCTGTTCTTTTTGCTCTATTCTATTCTAGACCATTTTGTTCTGTTCTAATCTAGTCATAAGTACCAGGATATTATATGAGAAGTTTAAGCCAAGATTCTAAGATAATAAATGTCAGAAACAAACTTACTTGTGCGACAGGAATTTTTTAAAAGTTTCAAAAGCCAGTTAAAATCCTCGCCTAATTCATACAAATGAAAAGCATTGTTCACAATAGCAAGAACCTGGAACCAACCATGCTGTCCATCAAAAGAGGATTGGATTTAAAAAATGTGGTACACATACACGATGGAATACTACACAGCTATAAAAAAGAACAAAATCATGAATTTCGCAGCAATCTGGATAGAACTAGAGTCTATAATACTAAGTGATCTCTCACAGAAACAAAGATCTGAGTATCACATGTTCTCACTCATAAGTGGACTTTGAACATCTATCGTAATACTATAAGTAAAGGATTGACAGTGGTGGGAATCTATGGGGGGAACAGGGAGGGCAAGGGTGGTGGGATTAACGGTAGTCAATATCTGTCTGGGGACAGGGGGACACCCCTTATCAACAAGGGTGCCTGAACGATGCATATTTGTATACCTAACCCTTAACTGTACCCCACAATTTTAAAATAAAAAATATGTTAAAAAAAGAGAAAAGGTCAAATTGCCTGCAGTTGAGAAAGTATTTATGAAGAAGATTTTTCTTTTTCAAAGATCTTTAACATTGGGAAAGGTGTAGAAATGCTTCTTTCTTTACCTTAAATCAAGGGAAGAGAGCTTCACCAAGACACTTGGAGAGCTTGAAGTTAAGGGATATTGGGGATGAAATCTATTTCCTATCTGAGATCTAAAGAACTCAGTGGTGACAGATGAGCCAGATGAAAGAAGTCTTTATACATTTCTGCTTTTTTCAAGAAGTTTATGGGAACAAATGTTTCATGAGTGTTTCATATGAACCAAATGTGACCAACCCTTATTTGGAAGCATGATGGGACCTCAGCATGCAGAGGTTGGAAATGTATCAACAAATTTTTAGGGACTGTGGCTGTTGTAAGGAAACCAGAGATTCATGTTCCGTGAATGGGTGGGAAGTCTCCAGCCACAAGTCTTAGCAAGAAGTCTCTGAAGAACCCATGAAGGTGCTCCCAGGAAAAAAGCCAGCTCTAAATGTCAGGTCTAGTAAGTGCCATAGGCGTCCCGCAATGGTGCTGGTCAAGGGAGAACTTTGCTACTCCTCAGGCTTTTTCTCTCTCCTGCTCCAGCTTAGGGGTCCAAAGTGGCCAATTGAAGGAGAGCAAACAAGAAATGAAAGAAACATCAACCACACCCTACATACATCATTCCTGGTTCCTATACCAAACCCAAGACGGAAAATAAATCTTACCTTTGCTTAGTGATTATGTGTGTTAAATGTGACCAGACCTTCTAATATCTGATTTGAGACTGGCAACTTAATGTGATCACAAAATTGATTATTATTATTATTATTTAAAAATGATCAGAAAAGTGATGGAACTGCCTAACATTTTAATTCCAGCACAGAAAATAAGTTTCCTCTCACTAAATATATTTTAAAGAGACAGCAGGAGACAAAATAAATTTGCTCTGTAATAGTACCTATCAAGTTCTGTATGTTCACTAATTATATACCCTCATAAAAATTTGCTGCATCTGAGTTAACACTCAGTCCTACAAAGAATTATCTCAAAGTATATTGGTGCAAAGTTTAATTGTTAGAATATGTTCAATCAAATTTCAGACAGAAAGAACATTCCATTATTTATGAATATTCTCTGAAATATTAAGATACTTTGAGTAATTATCTCAAAACATTGATTTCTGTTTATTTTGTTTACTTTCTAAAACACTTTTATCTGTACATATTGCTTTATATTTCTATTCCTCATACGTTCTCTGCAACCTTTCCAGAAATGTTAAGACATGTTCTATGCTAATATTTTTCTTTAAGGTTTGTATGGAAGGTGAGTGATATCAAAATTATAAATTCCATTAGTTTGTTTTGATACATATGTCTTATCTTAAACATTACTATTCTTTTATACACATTGGCTTTAAATTTATAGCACTAAACAATGTGTGGTAAAAGACATTGATCATTAAAGGATTTGCTTAAGAAATTTGTTTCAATTAAAAATATTTAGGGAAATCATGTATAATTTTTACATGCCATTTAATAAATGTTTAAACATGCTACATCTGTTTCATTTTTGTATTCTTGGATTAAATTGCAACTTCAAAAATTATATACAGAAGATGACTTGTTATACTTTACAGATCCGCAGGTTAAAAAAAAATGTTTGGTCTCTTTTGAGAAATGTGTGACAAAATTCATTGTAAAATTCAATCTTCAGCACTTTATAAATTGATTGTCTCCTAACCTTATTAGGTTTTTGAAAAGCTTATTTTTGTTTTGTTTTCTTGGTTTTGTTTGTTTGTTTTTAGGTGAAACTGACCTTCATAAGAACTCAGAAGACTTAGTAAATGCTGAAGAAAAACATGCTGATACACATCCATAGGCCTGAAACACCTTAAAGGCTTCCGTCATTTTAAACATGAGAGGTAATTCTATTTTCTAGACAAAAAAACGAATTTATAAAATGAATGATTTGTAGAATAGAGGCAAAGTTATCTAATAAAAATGTACCACTGGACTCTTTTTAAAAATCTCTATCATCAGGCTTTTCAGGCAAAATTTTAACAGATTAACTTTAAATATTTAAAGAGTTCTTAATTTGCTCAATAAAAATTATACTTACCAAGACTAAAATTTTAGACCTTTAAAAATAATAAGCTATAGTTCATTGGGGTGTTTCATTCTCATTTCCTTTTCTTCTTCATGTAGGAAATATGAATGTTTTCGACTGATTTCCTCTTTTATTTCATGGAGGAAATATGAATGTTTATAGCCATTGTTAAAAACAAAGTATATATAAATTATGAAGTAAATATCTTGTTCACTATAATCTGTGGACATGCACATTAGTGGTTCTCTTTTCAACAAAATCAGCTTCTAGAGCTCATCTTCAATCTACCAGATTATTAACTTTGGAAGTGATGCCTTGGAAATCTGAGTTTTTGATAAGTCCATCTATTGATATTTCTGTCCACTAAAATTGAGAACCAATGCCTTGGACCTACAGAGGAGGTATGGGCAGATGAAAAGGAGGGATGTGCATTTACAGTGAATGTCTTAATGGCTCCTAAAATAAAATTTTAAAAATTTCAAGCATTTTAATGAGTCCTGCTGTTGGGGCAGTGGGAATAGGAAGGAAAAAGAAAATGCTGAGGGTACCATACCAAACCTTTGGGATGTTATCACTAGCTCCATAGATGTTGCTTCATATTTGAAAGAGTTTAAATGTAATTCACTTTCAAAAGAATTCCTTCCTCAGTATTCTTGAGTTACCAAGACATTTCGTTTTGACTGTTTTTATTCATAGTAATAGTTTCATTAATAACAACTATGAAGTAGGACCCCCCAAAATTCAGAATTCATTTATTTAAAAATGTGTATTTCTTCTTACATGTTTAAACGTCAGTCAGCTTTAAAGTACTCTCTTTGAAGCAGTACACCTATCAAGATGTTCTTTCCACTGCTCAAAACAGTTTTTTTTTTTTTTTGGTTAGAAAGGATTTTTAATATATTAAGCAATAATTTATTCACATTTTGAACTCATCAATGTTGATGCCTTTTAGTGCTTCTGTCGTCTTTTGTTTCACCTCTTCCACATCGGCAACATTTCCCTTTGAGGACTTTTTTTCATCCAAGGAAACAAAAAAGAAAAGTTACTGAGGGTGAGATCAGGTGAATAGGGAGGGTGGGGCATGGGGGGTCATGCTATTTTTGGTCAAAAATTGATGAACTCTCAGTGTGGTGAGAGCAGTTGTGTTCATTAATCATTCATCATGAAATGCACAAAGTAAGTGAAAGAATCTAAAAAAAAAAAAATCACTGAAGTCGAACACAGCCTCTCACAAAAATGCTAGCTGGCCCACAGATGGGTTCCTAGAATACTTACCTAGCAGGGAAAGCCTATACTACAAGGCGTTCACTCTCTAAAAAATAATTCTGGTTTTTTGGGGGTGGTCTCCCCTTGTATAAAGTGTCAGGCATGAACATCTTATATATATTTTCTCACTTAGTCTTCTCAATATTTTTGAAGTTAGTGGTTATGGTTTCTATTTTGTACATAAATTTTGGAAGAAAATCAAGTTTAAAGTGACTATTCAGCAACTAAAACCCATCTCTATATTTAATAATTATAATATTTTTTGTCATATTAGTTACAACAATTCTCCCTACCCTTCATCCAAACTATAAATTTATTACATTAAGAGTCCATGGTCATTTTAGAAGAGTCCTTGGGTCCTGATAATATATGATGAAGCCCCTGAAGTAGATTTTACAGAAAATGAATTCAGTGGAATATTTGTAGATGTTTTAAGTAATAAAGGATTTTATTGGCAAATGTATGTCACTAGAAAACTGACTAAAGCAAAATTAAACAAGACATCTTCCCTACTAGACATCTCCAAGCCAGCAGGTACTATAGAGGACAGAACAAAACAAAACAAATCTCCCCCTTAACAACAACAAACCTTTAAGATTGGCATTTCCTAGACACTAACGATGCAGATCTAGAACATTTAAGAACATTTAAGAACATTTCCCCCAAAATTGGGTATAGGAGACACAGGCTACCAATACATCTATAAAAATTACTACGCAATGTATGAAAATTGTGTGTGTGTGTGTGTGTGTGTGTGTGTGTGTGTGTGTGTAGTGTATGCATAGACACATATCTGATTCTGGTATTTCATCAGTAAAAGGTTCTGATGAGATTCAGTTAAATATCTTTTTCCTTTATTCAATTAGAAAGACCCTGAAGCTGCAAAGTTTGCTACCCACTCAAACTAAACATAATATTCAAACCCTAGCAGAGAGATGATTTTTTTTTTCTGTGACGATCAGCTAAATCTTTTAGCTTTTGTCTCGGTTTGAGAAAGCCCTGACTTTAGTGTACAATCTTCCAAGAAACATGGCCTTGGGTAGGTGAAATTCACATGCCTTCCAGAAACAGGCAGGTTCTTTAATTGAGGGAAGCAGGAAAGGTCTAAAAACAACAAGAGTGGTAATTATGGGCGACTGTGACTCAGGTGTGGTATTTGGGAGACAACAGGTAGTGGTCAGTCTTCGAAATAAAGAGAACACAAAACATCTGACCTGAAGACTGAGGTCAGCCACTCTGGCTCTGGCAGATTTTGTCCATCAAAGAATGAGTGCCCACTGTTGCCATGTGTTCCTAGTAGTTAAGAAAGGTTTCTTAAATGTAAGATCTTTTGATTTTTCATGTTGACTCAGAGTGTTTTCAAAACACTATGTGGACCAAAGTACAACTGAGAGTCATATTGGCTTGCAAACTCTGTGTTGTAACTTCCACATCCCCTTCTTTGTGGCTGATGGTTAATTCCTTTGCTAGCTGTCATCATGGATGTCAAGTGTTGATGTCAAGGTAGCCTGGCCAGATCTCTGAAGGCCATTGCCTGCTTTGTTCTCAATGTTGTAGGTCCCACTGAGACACTAACCTGAGAAATATTGAGCTCTAATTAATTTTTGACAGTTTGGGACATCATAAATCAATGTGCAACACTTAGGATAAGAAACAAGCCTTTGTAATTGTAATTTATGTTCTTCCCAATTAATTTTTTTTGAAGCAGTGTCTATTTTGTTATTTTAAATTCTTCATCATACTTATTTTACTGCTGATAATCTATGTAACAATTAAAATGCATATTATCTACAAAAAAAAAAGAAACAAGCCTTTGGAATCTACTTTCCACACTGTTGTATAATTTTACCATCATTTCTAGGAGATTGCAGTTCACAAAAGAGTTTTGTTTTGCTTACATTTTTGTTTTATGTTTTTGTTAATTAAAGTAAATAAGGTTTGGGTTGGATGAACAATGCCAGGCTGCTTTATTATTTAAAAGCTAAAGGAATATTATTTATCATATTATATTCCTTGAAAGATATGTTAGAGATTTCTGGCTTTTTAAAAGCAAACCAGTAGCAGATCTGTTACTCACTGGAAGGAAAGTGTTCCCTATCCTATCAATGCCAGCTCTTTAATTCTGAATGTATTGTCCAACAAGAGGCTCAAAACTGATCTTTTGTGGTCTTTATTTAGTCTGTCGATTTTCTTTGACTTCCATACTGATATAAAATATATTTTTGAATATTTTTGAATAAAGGCAGGGTTTGTGTCCTTTAGTTTGCTATAGCCATGTGATTCTAGTTGTGTTACACTCACACAGGCACACTTAACTTATACACTACCTGCCAAACCCATGTGGCTATCTGATCTAAAGAGCCAAGGTTTAGGCAAAGTGAGGACCAAAGGGAGGCCCAAACTTCACCTGTATGATGACCACTTATGTACCTAATCCTGAATTGTACCCCACATCTTTAAAATAAAAAAAATTTAAAGAATAAAAAAGAACCAAGGTTCTTACTGGGCTTAAAGTAACACACACACACACACACACACACACACACACACACACACACACACGAAGAGAGATAAAGAACAGAAATAAGAAGAGAAATTGCAATGGATATAAAACCACTATTATATACTGAGAAATCCCTTATTTTTGACAAGGTATCTAAAGTCCAATGTGAAATTTCCCCATAATAATTAATGCCTGAATATGACTACATTGGGATCATTTTTCTTTTTCTTTTTTTATTTATTTTCAAACTCACAAATAAAATCAAGTACATGCTCTGAAACTGTGGAATGGCTAAATTAAGATAACTAACATGTATCATCTCATGTGCTTTTACTGTGGTGAGAATATTTAAAATATACTCTCTTAGCAGCAATTTTTAAGAATATAATACATTGTGATTAAGTACAGTCACCATGTTGGACAATAGCTCTCTTGAACTTACTCCTTTGATCTAACTGAAATTTTTAATTGTTTGCCTGACAACTGACTAACCACTTCTTACTTCCTCCTTACTTCCTCCTACCCCTTCTTCTCTGATCATTTCATTTGGATTTTATTTCAGAATAATGAAAACAGCATGAAAACATCCTAAATCCTCAATTTTCCAGGAAGCTATATCCCTCTTTCAACATACAATTGGATCAGGCCTTTTTTAATGAACTCAAGGAATTAAGGAGAACCTAAATTTTGAGCTAAACTCTGGCTAAATAAATACACTTAAGTTGCTATCAGAGTTTTTGATCAGTGCTTCTGATGCTATTTTTCCTTGACAATTTGGCCTTATTCAATCAAGCCAGAGAAATTTTTAAGACAAAATTTGGACAGTTTTAAATTCTCCTCATTTTTAACCCAGTCATAGTGACTGTGCAACGTGTGTGCAGAAGATGAAGCATTTTAACATTTACTTTGTTGTGCTGTCTCACACAGAGTACACATTTTTAAAGGTCTTAAATCAAAGGAAAGCAAAAACAAAATTATGGGAAAATTTTCTTGCAGTGCTGGGGAACATGCTGTTTAGATCGTCCTTATTTTAAATGCACAGGAATAAAATGAGAGGTGGGGCTGGCCAGAAACTGTAGTCGAAGTTCTATGGCAACAATGGCAAACCACAGCCTCAGCTGAATGATCTGATGAGCACCTCATTGTAGCTCTCATACTGGGAAATGGCAGTGAAACCTTTCCTGAACTCAGTGAACCAGCCTGCATCCTTCTCTGTGGTTTCAAAGCATCACCTCGACGGGTGTGGTCACAATGCAAGTCACATGGTATCTACAGTCAACAATAACATGACCGTCAGACTTCGTGATTGGTAGAAACGGACAATAGAATGGAAAATAGAATTTGCCTTCTGGGGTGTTTATCCCACCAGAATGTAACAACAAAATGCATCACAAGCCAAGAGATAAGAGACAAGATGTGTGTATGTTTGTGTGCGTGCGTGTGTGTGTGTGTATGTGTGTTCAAAAATGTTGATGAAAATGGAAGCTCACACTTTTCTGTACAGATAACATTATTTGACGTGACTTTTAAATTTACGCCACAGAAACAAACTGCAGCCCTTGGAGGCCCTACCACCTTGTTATGTTTTGCCTGAGCATGTGCAAAGCCTTTCCTTTGCTCCAAACTAAAGAACTACCTTTATTTGTTGTTAGCGACAAGAAAGGTCAAGTACAATTAGTTGTTGTAACTTTTCATTGTACAAACATTGCAATGATCATGAGCTTCAGTGAATTTATCTTTATGAAAGGTAGAAATTGGATGGAAGGAATTAAGAGAAGCCATCAATTAAACGACATGAAAGAGCGTCCATCTTCCTAACAAGTTTTCTGTTGCACCTGCTTCTTAATTGGGATTCTTGAGGCTAAGCAATATTTTAGAAATTGATACAATCAGAAGTTTTTAAGCCTAAGTGGTGAGATTTCATAACTCACAACCTAGCTCTCTTTTAATGTGTAAGCCATATTCTATATGCATATTTAGTATGCATCATTGTAATTTAAGATATATTTGTGTGTAGACTGTATAAAATGCTTTTAAATGTTCTGTGAATAAAGTCTTTAGCTTTAGTTTCACCTGAATCTCATATAAAACACAGCTAGATAATTAAATTGTATCATAGACATTACAATGCAATTGATATTTTAAATGTAAGTAGTAAAGACTGACCTATAATAATGCACTGGGGGAACATTTATAGATGTGTACATCATGGTGACTTTTTGTCCTTTCATAATGGACTTTTTATTTCTATTTATAGAGAAACTGTAGCTATTGCCTTTAGTGTCTTTTTAAAACAAGCGAATTATAAGCTAGAAAATATTGTGCATTTAAAATAGAATCTGACTATCTGGGAAGTCTAATTACTATTGTTCTTATTTGAGCCAGTTGTCGTTCAGCAAAGCTATAGACTCTCTCAAGGGAGAAGTAAACTGAAACACTGCTTCCCCAGTGTCATGGGAAACATATCCACTTTATTCCTAGTAATACTTTAAGATCTGTAGACCTTGTTACTAAAGAAATAGAGGAATATAAATAATTCATCAATTTCTGTATATGGGCTTTAACCTAATTTTCTGGGTTCTGTGACTTACAAAGCACTGTGACCAAGCTTCCAGAGAAGTAAAGATGTTTCACTTCTTCAGATAAGTTGTCACACTGCTTGATGTGACTTATTTTGCTAATCTCTCTCCCTCTTTCCCTCTATCTCCTACATCCCTCACTTCTCTCTTTTTTCTTTTCTTTTTTGTTTCTTTCCTTCCTTCCTTCCTTCCTTCCTTCCTTCCTTCCTTTCTCTCTCTCTCTCTCTCTCTCTCTCTCTCTCTCTCTATCTCTTTCTCTCTCTCTCTCTCTCTCTCTTTCTTTCTTTTGGAATCTCACTCCATCACCCAGGTTGGAGTGCAGTGGCAGGATTCATCTTACCACAGCATTGGCCTCCTGGGCTCAGGGGATCCTTCCATCCCAGCCTCCCAAATAGCTGGGACTATGGGTTCACACAACCATGCCTGGATCAATTTTGTATTTTTTGTAGAGATGGGGAATCTCAATATGTTATCCAGGCTGGTCTCAAACTCCTGGGCTCAAGTAATCCTCTGGCCTTATCTTTCCAAAGTGCTGGGATTACAGGAGTGAGCCATCACACCCAGCCTTTTAGTTTCTTTTAAACTTTATATGTTTTCCTTTTCTGTCTCTAAGACAGTAACAACTTAGCACGAATTAGGAGGAAGTCAGAGTGGAAGTTACCTGTAGCCATTCCTTCTTTAAACATCAATGTTGAGCCCATCTGAAGAGAGGGGCTGATGAGTTAAGCTGCTGCACCTTGCATTTCCTGCTTTACCTTTTTTTGTCCTCAGCTACCCAACATATATATCTTGCAAGTTCATATAACTTTTCATTTAACCAGGACCTCGTTTATTTAATTTTTAACAAGACGACCTATACTTCTTGTGTTTTATTATGCTGTAATTCTCTGTATTTCCTATTATATATGATTGCTAAATAAATCAAAACTGAGGGACAATATGGTGAAACATTTGGTGTTTAATGTAATTCGATTCGGGGGGCATTGAAAAACTGTAGAAATTGGGGAAGATCTGAAGTAAACCAATTCAAAAATTGATATGAGTTTTGTCAGAAAGTGACTTTTTGCTCTACTAAAGAAATATTAATTAATAGATTACTTATTATTATACCTATTATTCACAAGCTTCTGGCTAGAAGCGTGATGCATATATAAATATAGAAACCTAAATCTTTCTTCTAGAAATTTAAAGTCTTGAAATGAAAATAATCTACACATGCTATAATTTATATAATAACTAGAATACCACATATAAAAATAACCAGGTGTAGCCGGGTTCGGTGGCTCAGCCTGTAATCCCGCGCTTTGGGAGGCTGAGGTGAGTGGATTGCCTGAGCCGCGGGTTCAAGACCCACCTGGGCAACTTGGCGAGACCTCATCTCTACAATAAATAAAAAAAATCAGCCGGGCATGGTAGTGCATGCCTGTATCCGGCTACTCGGAAGGCTGAGGTGGAAGGATTGCTGGAGCCCAGCAGGTCGAGGCTGCAGTGGCTGGGAGCAGCCACTGCACTCCAGTCTGGGTGACAGAGTGAGACTCCAACTCAAAAAAATAATAATAATAACCAAGTGTAAATAAAGTGCACTATGGATATTAGAGGCGGTAAAAACTGCATCTATCCTTCAAGACTTCTAAGAAGACCAAGAATAGGTGGGATATGAGTTGACAAATAATAAGAAAAACCTGTGATCATTGTCTATTTTCCATGGGTAGCCTCCATGTAAATATTTAACAGATATTATCTATAATCTTCAAATAATTGCAAAGTGGTATCCATGTGAGTAAAAGAAAACAACTCTTAGAGAAGAAGCCTTGTTCAAGGCCATGCAGATCTCTATTGGCAACTGTCATGCTGGATTTGATTCCAGGTCTCTCTGACATCAAAGATCTTTTTTTTATTTTTTCTTTCTCTAACATCTATGTGGGACTGAGTGGAAACACAGAAGAAGGGAAAGGTCTGTGATGAGCAACGTGAAGAAAGCAACACCAGAAAATAATAAAGAAGCCAAAGGCGTTAAGTCGAGGACCTAGTGAGTCTCTAAATTGAATAAAGAGTAATTGACATGATATGTGTCAGTCCTTAGTCTGTGTCTCTGTGATGCCAGTGCGTTCCAGATGAAGATGTAAAAGCTTCAGTAGTCATCAGACACATGACACTTAACTGAATTTCTTGCTTTAAGTATGACTACATGATAAATTACATGATAATTTATCATGTAAACTACATGATAAATTTCCACCTAATATAAAAATGCATTTAAAGGCTATGTGAAGGTTGGAGAGTTTCCTTTGCATATCAAGCTGATACATTTTTATCTCTGACAATTAAAGATAATTGTGAAATTATTTTAGTGTATTATAGTCTCACTCCTGCATCACATTATTTCCTTACATTATCTCTTTTACTCCCTATAACTACTCTTTAAACATTGTTATTCCCATTTATAGATAAGGAAGTGTGGCAGAGAAGAGTAAAATATTTGTGTAAGGTCACACAGCTAGTAAGTGTCAGCTCCCAGGTTTGAATTCGGGTGAGTCTGACTTTCAAAACCACTAGGCTAGACTGCCTGCCATTAGGGAAGCATCAATTATGTCTTCTGTACCCATCATATCCATTACCTTCCTTTTCTACTCTTTATCCATTTTGCAGACACTTGTCCCTAAAAACTACTACTTTGAGAAGGGAGATTTTTCAGTGACTGAGAACAGGGTTGTGTGTGTTTGATAGCAATTAAACCGTATATTACTATAGACAAGACATCTTTGATTATTATGGCAGGGAGGAATCATTTCCCATGCTTAATATATGATCATAAAATGTGTTTTTAACTACTGGTACTCATTCCAGACACTTACTACTCAAAGTGTTGTCCACACCTGGGACATTCTTACAAATAAAGAATCTCAGACTTCATGTAGACCTACTAAATTAGAATTGGCACCTTAAAATAACTGGGTGATTTCTATACATATCACTGTTTTAGACAGTAATTAAATATTAGGGAGGTAATTATAAATACCTCCTAAGCACTTAAATGCCAGATTTTTTTTCACATCAGATCTCTTAATAGGTGCCTTTTGATGTCTATGCCCTCCTTCAGATTTATCAGCAAACATCATGGATCCAAAGCCAAAGGTTTAGGCTATTGCATCTTTTGCTGATTTGTATATATCCGTATGCAAGGAAATGTGGTTCTTTATATGGATAATTAGAGGAGGACTCATGAAGTTTTTGAAAAAGACATTAAATGAGTGTGACCATTTGGCTTTCAGAGCAAAAAAATCTTTGAAATCAAAATAAACTTTATAAAAGGCATTTACACAGTAAATTTATCCCATTTTAATTGGCCTATCAAATAGTGTTATTGAATTATGAAGGGTACAAAAGCCAATTTTACCTTTCACAAATGGTAAATACAATCCATACCTGTCAGCCTGAAAACACAGTTTGATGCATTTATCGCTTATTTGCCAGCTTTTCTGTAAAGCTTAAAATATCAAAAACATTGTGAAAAACATGCTTAGAATGTATGGAGTAGGGTGAAGGGAAGGGCACTAGGCACTAGAACTAACAGTCTAGCCGAAGGTGAAAAGGAGAAGGTTTGGGTCCAATTTGGAAGCAGCAAGTCATCTGAGTTCAAAAACGTAAAATACAAGAGGAAAAAAGTAGACAGGGTACATACATATGTCCACTAAGTTCCTTATCTATACCAACTTATTTAATTCTCACAGTAACCTTAAGAGGTAAATATTGTAATACTCATTTTACAGAGAGAAAAAGTAAGACACAGAAAGGTGAAGTAACATGTTCAAGGGCTTCTATTTTGGAAGATGCAGACTTGGGATTCTGACTTCAGAGTTCATGCCCTCAGCACCATTCTACTCTTTCAAAACTAAACCAAATCATACCCAAGAGAGTGCTGAACTTGATAGTCTATGATTTCTTCAAATGTTGACAATCTTACCATGGCACTGTGCTTGGGTCAGTTCAAAGCAAAATCATACCATTTCCATAAGGATATATTAGTGCATTTATTTCTATTCAAAGAGCTGTGCATTATTTAGGTCTTTCCCACCTTACTTGTGTTGAATATTTGGCTTGTTGGTTTCCAGCTCTTCTTGTTTTTTCTTCTTTGCACACTGTTATTACCTGAAATCTCCCTAATAAATTCTTTGGACATACAGTTCCTCTTTTTAGAAACGGTTTCTCCTTGTCTACAAACTTTTTCTGTAAAGGGTCAGACAGTAAATATTTTAGACTTTGCAGGTTGCATCCTATTATACTGTCCCTCCTCTTCCTCTTCCTTCTGTTTCTCCTTCCCTTTCTCCTTCTCCTGCTTTGTCATTTTCTCCTCCTTCTGTTTCTTCTTCTCTTCCTTCTTATTTCTCTTCTGCTTCTCCTTTACATCCCTTTAAAAATGTAAACACTATCCTTAGCTGATAAGGCAGGACATTCAAAGATAGGTCACATGGTAGGCCAGGTCCATGGGCCTGCTCTGCACTGGGCTTCTATTCCAGGTCAAGTTCAGTGACCTCAGGAGAAGAATGAGACTGTTTGTGCCAGCAACAGTCATCCCCAGGAGCTTCAGCTTCCCCAGGCCTGCCAGCCACTCTGACTGGGACAGTCAATATCTCCAACACACCTGCAGCCCATTCCCAGCACACATACTCATTTGGTACTCTGCCTTCAGCATGCTTCAGCACAACTGGGAGGATTTATTCAACTATAGATGGCTGAACCCCAGTCCCCAGAGATTCTAATTCAGTACGTCTGTGATGGGGCCAAGGTGAAGCTGCTGCTATTAGACTGGAGATCCCACTTTGAGAGCCATTGGCCTTCAGGTAAAGTTAAAACTCCTTAGCAGAACCCTCAAAGCCCCTCACAGTCTAACCCGACTATTTTTTATTAATAGCCTTCATTACAGTCTTTACTGTTTCTGATGTCTACAAACCAATGCACTGAGTGCCTATCCTGCCTGGGTCTTGCTGCTCTCTGTCCCATCCTTAACCTGTCACTATCCCTCCTTCCTCTGAGGATCCACAAATGGCCAGTTCTCTCACAA